AAAAAAACTCCAAAGGGACCGGGAAGAGGGATGTGGAGGTGGACAGTTTGTAAAAAAGAAAAGGAGGGCGCAGAGGGAAACAAGGCGGCAAGGAAGACTCATCCTGCCTGCTTTTACTCTCAAGGGTCATTGGCGGTGAAGCTGACAGCAAATGCCCAAGAGCACAGAAGGAAGGGGTGAGCTTCCACCTGCTTTTCCGCCATGCTGCAGGGCAGCACAGAGTAAACCCAGCCAGCTGGGAGACCTTGGCTCGCCGTGCCGGGGCCGGCAAAGGTGACTGGATGGGCTTTTGAGGCAGCGTAGGAAATGTTAATGCTGTGGGGTGGATGTTTAGCATTTCAAGAGGTGATCGTTATGTGCGCTGCGCAGTAAAGACTGGGACAGCCTTGGCGATCCCGCTAATTGAGTAGGAAAGGTCAGAACGATACAACAGCGAACATCTGGACGTATTATATGACTCACAGTGTTCCTGTGTGTCTACCCCACCCGCGTAGACACACAGAGCAAGTGTAACGACGCATTCTTGGGTGATGATGGAAACCCCTCCTAGCGCCCCCTAAGAGAGGCAAGTTGAGCACATGTGGCAGAATGAAGTATTGGCCCAGAGTGGGTAAGTCTGCACGCACCCTTTTGCAAGAGAGCCTGGGTACTCCGTTTTCTGACCCCAGAAGGATGGAAGGCTGAGTCAACCTTGAGCCAGCTCCTGAGATTGAACAGAGGTCACGAGCAGAGTTTCGGCTGCAGGACTGCAGCTTAAGCACTGCGCCACGAGGCTTCTCATCTCTGTGTTTTGATAGTGCATTATAAGTCTCCCATTTTCTAGGCATTGATCTTCCCCCCCCCCCACAATGTCAGTTCTTTGGGTCCTTGGTACACCTTGGTTATTTTGTGACAAGCTCTTCACCCTTTAGCTCAAAGGAAATGTACAAAATGTCCAGATCTTTCCATTAATGACCATGTCTCCGAACTCACGCCTACCAAATTTCAGGCTTCTAAGAAGCAAAAGGAAGTATCATAACCATTTTGACACCCTTCACGTCAGTAAGCGAGCCCGAGTTTCCTTATGGGTATGAGACACAGATAGACGATCTAAGGAAAGTTGATCAAATCTCCCAACGAGACCTTCTAATACCATTGCCCAGAAGCTATTTCCACAGACAAAGAATGCAAAGCACTAACCATAATTGCGGCGCACTTAAAGGTCAAAATCCTCCAGACAGCAACACTTGCGAAAAAGGCCTAATAGAGAAGCAGGAGAAGAGCAGAAGCCAGACAATAGCAGGAGAAAGAATCGCTAAAGTACCAGATGACAAGGACGGAAGGCATACTGAAAAGATGCTGGGAGTGGGGGTTGAGGGGGGGGAGGGAGAAAGGGAGGCAAAAAGATTTTTCTGAGAAATCTGGTAAGTGTAAAGCAGTGCCGACGACTACGACAGTTTTGGGGGGAGGGGAGAAAGGTGTCATTATGGGCGATTTGTCAGCTCTGTGGGAAGAGGAGGGATGAGCAGATCTATTTCACAAAGAGCGCTGGTGATTAGGAAGGAAGGTTTCATCACGAGCCTTATTGTAAAATCACAGAGGAATGATAAATGTTGGCTCCTCTCACCTCGGCTTGGAGAAAGAAATTGCAGGTATGAGGGAGGAGAGCACCTCCGTGGTTACCGATGTGAGGTGGGTGGGAAATGCAGCTTGGCCTCCCCTGCCCATGTTCGCATCCTTGTGTGTCAGGTACAGTTAAGCCTGCCCCTGGGGGATGGTGGCTTTGATTCTGGTCTCAGTTCCTTGCCAGAACGCTCACGCCTACGAGCCCAGAGTCTACTTTGCCCCACATTAGAGTGCTCTGAAATAACTCTATGGCAAGTTATTGGCGGTGCTCTGTTTTCCTTGTCACCATGAGGACAGGACACAGGAGGGAGGAGGAATCTGTGGCCTTCCCCGTGTCGCTGGGCCACAGATTCCAGAGTTGGGGTCTGACGGGAGTTCGAAGGCCAGTTGTTGCAGAGGGCGGGGGAAAGTGCAGAAAAGATGGCTAGGATGACCAGGTCGCTGGAGCTGTTCTCTTAAAAAGCTGAAATAAGAGAGATTTGAGCGGAAAGGAAGGTGACAAAGATGACTGCGGATAAGGGAGGAAATGACAGATATTTACATGATGATTCATGAGCTGGACAGAGAAGAGTTACCCGATCTCGCTTGGTGCTGGCCAACAAAACCGGCAGAAGACGAAGGACAGACAAAAGGAAGGGTTTGTGACACACAGCATTCACTGCTATAAGATACAATGGGTTGGCGAACCCATGGAGGGCAAGGCTATCAATAGCCACTAGTCACAACTACAGTACCCCTGAGGCAGTATGCTGTCCTGAATAGCTGCTATAAGATACAACGATCACCGCAAGCTTAGATGGACCTAAACGTGGGCTGGCGAACTCATGGAGGGCACGGCCATCAATAGTCACTAGTCACAACTACCCCTGAGGCAGTATGCTGTCCTGAATACCAAGGGCTGTGAACGCAAATGGAAAGCATATTCTTGTCGTCTGTGTGCGCCGAGCTAAACATGAAAATCTTATCATTTAGGTCTTTCCTCCTTTACATCACACTGCAGTGTTTGTCAGGCAGCTGCGAGGTAGGTAGGAGAAAACGTGCCAGACCTCTGTACAATCTGCTTTGATTTGGACTCCTGCCTTGAGCACAGGGTCAGGCTCAATGGCCTTAAAAGGCCCCTTCCAACTCCACTCATTTTATGATTCTAAAATGGAGAATTACGGCATTTGTGGTCCAGGAAAAAAAATCTGAAGATCCCATCCGTATTAGACGCCTCACGTTCCTTCGCCTGGAGCAAGTATACATTCCGAGAAGGTTCAACAAATATTCACATCAAGCTGCCCCAACACTCTTGCCCAGTGATGATGTTACGAATGGTCTCTGTGGAACTTGGAGGAAAAGGTTTGGGAAAGAGCACGTTGAGAGGAATGGCTTGTTTTCCTCCTTTACCTGTGGATGAAATTCTTCTTCTCCAGGTACTCCATGGCAGAGGAGATCTGGGTCGCCATGTACAGAAGGACGACGGCATTGACCTCCTGCCGGTTGCAGTCCCGCAGGTAGTCCAAGAGGTTTCCATACGTCATGAACTCAGTGATGATATAAAATGGAGGCTCCCGTGTACAGACACCTGCGGAATCATTCAAACAAATACATAGCGATGTTCAGCCGACATGTGGCTTACAGGACTCTCGTTAGCTTTCGCTCCTGACCTTACAGGAGTGATGCAGAGAGAGGAAGGGCTGTGAATGCAAACGGAAAGCATATTCTTGTCATCTGTGCGCCTGTGGGTGTCCTTTTTAGACAGATATCTCGCAAATAGCACTGGGTAGGAAGCTTGGCTGGGGTGAGGCCGAGCTAAACCTGAAAATCTTATTTAGGTCTTTCCTCCTTTATATCACACTGCCGTGTTTGTCAGGTAGGAGAAAACGTGCCAGCCCTCTGTCCGATCTGCTTTGATTTGCAAGGGCTGTGAACGCAAATGGAAAGCATATTCTTGTCGTCTGTGTGCGCCGAGCTAAACATGAAAATCTTATCATTTAGGTCTTTCCTCCTTTACATCACACTGCAGTGTTTGTCAGGCAGCTGCGAGGTAGGTAGGAGAAAACGTGCCAGACCTCTGTACAATCTGCTTTGATTTGGACTCCTGCCTTGAGCACAGGGTCAGGCTCAATGGCCTTAAAAGGCCCCTTCCAACTCCACTCATTTTATGATTCTAAAATGGAGAATTACGGCATTTGTGGTCCAGGAAAAAAAATCTGAAGATCCCATCCGTATTAGACGCCTCACGTTCCTTCGCCTGGAGCAAGTATACAATCCGAGAAGGTTCAACAAACATTGACATCAAGCTGCCCCAACACTCTTGCCCAATGATGATGTGGAACTTGGAGGAAAAGGTTTGGGAAAGAGCACGTTGAGAGGAATGGCTTGTTTTCCTCCTTTACCTGTGGATGAAATTCTTCTTCTCCAGGTACTCCATGGCAGAGGAGATCTGGGTCGCCATGTACAGAAGGACGACGGCATTGACCTCCTGCCGGTTGCAGTCCCGCAGGTAGTCCAAGAGGTTTCCATATGTCATGAACTCAGTGATGATATAAAATGGAGGTTCCCGTGTACAGACACCTGCGGAATCATTAAAACAAATACATAGCGATGTTCAGCCGACATGTGGCTTACAGGACTCTCGTTAGCTTTCGCTCCTGACCTTACAGGAGTGATGCAGAGAGAGAGAGAGAGAGACAAAAAGTTTCCCCAAGAAACTGGTTAGAGATATCTTAAGCTCCAGGCCTTTCATATTCTAAATGTACGTAAGAAGAGTTCATTAAAAGCCCTGTTCTACTTTTCAGAAACCGTGGGCTCCTGCCAAAGAATGGAAAAGTCTCAGTATGGTAAGCAGCTTATCTGCTTCTTAACATCCGTATCGTCAGGCGGGGCATTAGTTCAAGTCGCCCGGCTTGGTATTTCTGTCACTTACCCAGTAATTGCACCAAGTTCGGATGCTTGATCTCCTTCATTACTGCTGCCTCTTTCAAAAATTCCTCCACCTCCATCGTGTCCTCCTGCAAGGGGAAAGAAGAGCAGGGGGATGGGTTGAGTCAGACAGGATGATCCCCATTTCAACAGATGGAGTGGGATGATGGCAAACCTATAAAGGTATTGAGAGACCACAGCCTCTGACTGCAACCCCAGGACCACTATAATGGCCCCCAGGACCACTATATCTTATTGATACCCATTTTGGGAACAGTCAAGGCAGGGAAGTGCAAGTGTGATTTGAAAAGAAATCCACATGCGAAAGGCAGCAGGCTTTTGGTTTATCTCCTGTGTATTCCCTCATTTACTTATTTCCATGGCCGTTTACATGATTAAAGAATGCATAGCAAAATTTTGCACGAAGTTGAATCAAAGAAATCCTGCACAGAGCTGCCTACAGACAACCGTTCAGAAGCCGTGACGTATGTTCCTTGCATTCAGATGTTCCACGCACGTGTCAAAGCAGGCACTGCTGATTAGATGAGGTATGTGCATGACGGGTATGTGTGTGTGTGTGACTCTTTCAAGAAGGGATCTTTCCCACATGGTTCCCCAAAGCCCTGATGTACATTATTTTTTTATCTCTTGCTCAAGAGCATCTTAGTAGCTGAGAAACCAACAAGCTGTTGAGTTAACTCACTAAACTGACTACACCTTGCTGCTCTTACTTCTTATTGAGGTTTGTGTGTGTCAAGTTTTCAGTCTGGAGCAGACCCAAAATGAAAAACGATTATCCTGACGCCATCCTTACTTCCCCTAGTACGTACGTTATCGTTCTTCTTTTTCACATTTTCATTTGGAGAAATGCCAATTTGAAGGATTCAATTTTCCCACTTCAGAATCAGGTAAATTCGCATTCAAATGCAGCCTGAGCCAATCTCTCCTTTATCTCTAAACCTCCAGATCTTTAGTGGTACAACTCACATCATCAACCATCAGCACAGAGTCCAAAGCATCTGGAGAGCATGAGGCGGGGGAAAGCTGATGGCCTCACTTTCCCTCTATGAGAGAGATTGGTATTCCCAAACTGCTTCCATTCTATGGTGCTTCCAAACAGAAACCACCTAACCCTCTCAATCAAAGGTTCTTTGTGCAGCTATTCTATTTTACTAGGCTTATCACATCTCTATAGTGAGAAAAAAAAAGATGGAAGCAGCTGTGGGAAAACACACGAGGGTGAAAAGTAGAAGACGACAATGTCTGTATCCTTAAAAAAACCACCTCTACAAATGAGGCACACTATTGCACAAGAAAAACGTCAGTCTCAATAAGAGAAGGAAATGCTCTGGATAAGAGAAACTGGGGAAGAAGAAAAAAGCTCTTCAACTAGGCATAATGGTTGGAATATTGGGCAGGGATGTGAGAGGACAAGGATCAAATCTCCTCCGAGCAATACAATTCCCCGGGTGGCCTTAACCAGCTATTCTTGGTCAGCCTGTCCTGCTCTCTTGTTCTGTTGTGAAGACAGAGAGGGGGAGAACCACAGCTGACTGAAGGAAAGACAAGCTGTAAAGGTAGCTAACTAATAAACAGAATGGCCAAAATCTTTACTACTGGTAGAGAAATCCCTGATGGACAAGCCTATATATACACAGAGGGAACGATCCACTGAATATTAAACACTGCAGATGAGAAGAAGGGGAGGGGGGAAAAGCAAAGAAAGGCTCTGGCTTTAAGTTGTGGTTTTACCCACTTGAAGCATTTGGCTGGTCCCGACGGGAAACCACACGGCGTCTGGTACAATTCAGCAAGGGCAGGTGGTATATTTCATATTCAGAAGCTGTAATCATATTGTTATCATAAACCCCAGCCACCACTTCTGCGTATAACAGGATGCTGGGGAATGTGCACTGCCCTTAAATCAGCGATTCAAAATGGCAGTGGGTGTCTATCAAGGGCTGAAGGATGGTTTTCTATAATTTGGGGGGGGGGGAAGTACTCAGTATTGCAGTTTTTAATTTAGGAAATGGGGAACAAACTCCTCCAAAATAATTACACTGATGGCTTTCCTAGCACCTTTAATATCATGCAGGTTAAATTATTGGGAGGGACACATACAATTTTTATTATATATCAAAAAAAAAGAAGGTAGCATGCGTTGAGAAAGATCTGAGAAATAGTGCTTTAGACGATGCGCCCTCAGTCTCATGCCAGCGTTATGGATAGTCAGGGACCATGGGAGTTGTACACTAATGACACCTGCAGGGTCCCTGGTTCTCTGCCACCTACAATCAAGAGATGCCTGCATATTTATTTCTCCTGAAGGACTATCTTCGGTCATCCACGAGGACTGTGTGTTCCTTGAAGGAACTGCAAAACCTACTTGTTAGACAGAAATTCTTATCCCATGATGAAAGAACGGCCTCGGTTCATATCAGGACAATGTCTGCTCCCTTTCAGTTCTCTTTTGCCCCACGTAGGCTTGCAGCCAACTCATTAGTTCAATACAGGAAACTAAAGGCTGTTATATATGAAGGCTGACAAACCATAGTATGGGATCAGCTGCCAATCCAAACCCCCCTAACAATAGAGTTCACCTTTGCTTTTCAAGACCTCCACGTTGATGGAAATAGAAATGGTGAAAGAAGGAAAGGAAAGGAAGGCTCTTAATAATCACAGAATCATAGAATAACGGAGTTGGAAGAGGCCTATAAGGCCATTGAGTCCAACCCCCTGCTCAGTGCAAGGATCCAAATCAAAACAGATCTGACAGATGTTTTGCTGACTTGCCTTAAGCTCAAATGGTGGCCAAAAATCCATATTATGGCTAGAGTAAACCACGGTTTGTTGTGATGTCTGCATTACATTACATGGAAGAGGTACTAAGAGTTATTTCGAATGGGGAAAACTCTGTACCTTGTTGGCCACGGTTGATCATGAATCAGCATAAAGGAGATCAGAGTTTATCATTATTAATGTCTTGATAGCTCTGCAAAAAGCTATGCTCTTTGGAAATACCTTAACTGGAAATCCTTTAAATCCTTTTAGAAAGTCTGCTTGATAATCACAGTGGAAGCTATTCTTCCCCGCTTCATCTTTCAACATACTGTTGCATTAATTGAAAGTTTCCCATCAGGAGGCCTTCTTCGTAGAAACGGCTTCCCCTTGAAACAGCCAAAGACCTGAACGCCACCCTCCCAAAATTAAAAAGAATCAAGCAGCCAAAGACCTCAAGGCCACCCTCCCAAAATTAAAAAGAATCAAGAGGAGACAAAACAACAACAACAAAGCGTTGAGGGGGGGAAGCACCGACTACATCGCTACAAGATTTGCATCTCCTGGATGGTGGGATGGAATCCAACCAAGCAGAACCTGCTCCTTTTACAACACCTTCTCTCTCCATACGGAAGGTTCCCGAGTTCCACTTTGGACAACAGTGAAAACTACATATTGACACAGGCAAACAGAACCCAGAAAAATTTTAAAAAGAAGGAAGGCAAAAACATTGTGGCACTTTAAAGCCTAACTTCTCTATTTTAATGCGAGCTTTCGTGAACTGATGGACAGGTCTCAGGAGGTGGACTTGTCTGCGAAAACTCACGTTAAAAATACAAGCAGTTAGTCATTAAGGTGCCACAATGTTTTTGTCTCCTTTATTTTTTTTAATTTTCCTTTTGTTCTTGCCTAACATGGCTACCTCTTCTATTATGGCTAATACTGACCGAAGCTTGCTCACAAACACAGCTCTGTTGGAACCAACCAAATCTGCACCTCATTCAGGATCCTGCTTTCCACAGGGGCAAAACAAGATGCCTCATACACCCCCCCCCAAAAAAAAACCCATTAAGGTCAACATAATCTATAACTGAGGGTTATCTAGTATCTAAGTGCTCAGCAGCCTAATACTTCTGGAAATACTGGGCCTTACAGGATCAACAAGATGTCAAAGAACTTCACCACAGATTTCTTCCCCCTTAGGAATTTTCATGTAATATGATCTGGTGATGAGAAACGCCTTGCATTAGAAACATATTGCTTCTCCGTTTTCATAGCCTCACCCCTTATTCTCCTCCAGTTAAGGCTGCATTCGGGCGGTCATTAGCTGAAAGCCAACCTTGCTTGGCCTGGCTCTGGAAGGAGGAAAGCACAGTTCCTGCTCAGCAGGGCGTAGGGTCCAAGATAAACACAAGCTGGGTGGCCAGAAGGTCATTTACAAAGCAGGCTGGGGAAAGGCCAGAGACTTTATAGAAATGCTGGGTTGTTGTTGTTGTTTTTGCACCTAGTCTGCTTTCTGGGAACAAAACCGGCAATGGGTTAACACAGACCAAGATAGAAGGAATGAACTGTTGTAAATGAGACTGGGAAAATACGCTTAAAGGCTGTGTGATAAGGAAAGCAACCCCAGGATTTCAGGCGCTAAAAAAGGTGAAACTCTCTCCATTAGCCCCCAATATTCTGGAGTCTTGCTCTACAAACACAACCACAATGAACAGAGGCCACGCAAGGATGCCAGCTATGTGTGTTTGTTCATTTAAGCACTTATAGCCCTCTTTGCAAATCAAAAGAGCCTTCACAAAAGAGTTGACAGCGCAGGCGGTCTTCTTCACGAGGGTGAGCCGCCGTGGGGCAGCGGACTGGCCCCGAGGACCCTCGGCTGTCACCCCCAGACCTCGCTGGCATTTTGTTTTGTGGCTCCACACACTGCGCCTGCCTTCCTCCATCGGCCCCACCCTGCTTGGTATTTGCTTCCAATTAGTTTGACTGGCAGCCTGTGCACCAGCTTCGGGGGGACCTCTACAACCACTGCTCTCTCTCTCTCCTGCCAACAGCCAGTGGGCTAATAAAAATACCCCCCCAACACTCCCTCTGATCTCTAAACAGCACAACCAGACGGGTCAAAAAAATGTGCCCCCACTTATAATTACACAGCCGAGGAAGTCAGAAAGCAACAGCTGCAAAATCTCACTCGCTCCGGAGCAAGCTTTCCTTCCTCAAGGGTGACTTCTTTGCAAACCAGGAGGAGACTCCACGGTTCAAAGGCTGGAGCCAGCTTTGGTAAGTTCAGGTTCAAGGCCACACGAAGTCC